CTTTTTTTTTTTTTTAAATTGCCAAAGGGTGAATTCATCTTAGAATAATTTGAGTTCCTGTACCCAAAAAGCTATCAAAGGCAGGCAATGGGAATGCCAAAGAAAACAGATATAAGAGGAATGTTGAAAGTGAAATGAAAGTGAATGTTGAACTACTTTGGAGAGTATTCATTTATGTACTGTTTGTAACTCAAGAGCTCTTTTATCATATTATCTTAAATGTCAGCCATAAATATATATGGGAGAATCTGTTTTGTGTCTTTTCCTTTAAGTAACTTTTTCAGCTCTGTTGGCATTATTTCAACTAGTCTAAGTTGCTATAAAGATAATATCTATGTATATCGAAGTCTATTTCTATAATATTGCTTAAATGAGAAATGGCCATTCTTTCTTTGTCACAGAGGATGAGCTCCTTCCCAGCATTCTTTCAAGCAAATCAATATTTATTGTTTCTCTGCATGACATGGGTTAGAGATTCAAAGAGTTAGATGTGTAACGTGAAAACAATTTCTGTACTATCCCTTTTTGTCTCAAGCATTTATAGCATCAGACAAGATCAACCAGATCAAGAAACCAACTCCACAGGAAGACTATAAAAATATTTTACCAAGATTGGCAACAGTAACAAAATCATGCAAATCTCCTTGTGCTTTACCTTGGCTGCAGTATATTAATACATACTGTGACTTACAATATCAATATAAGAAGAATATAAAAACAAAAATTAGTTAATGCAATTATAAAGTGTCAATCTGATACTCCACCATTTGGGGGCAGTAGGATCTTACTTTTCCCCAAATGCCTTTCTGAACGGCCATCTTTTTATGGCTCTCTGTAAGCCACAGTATGTATTAATATATCGCAGCCAAGAAAACAAACAAATGGATCATTGAACAAATCAACCCAGAGTTCTCACTTGAGGCACAAATGACGAGGCTCAAATTATCCTACTTTGGTCGCATTATGCAAAGACCCAGCTCTCTGCAGAAGGTTCTAATGCTGGGAAAGGTGGAAGGAAGGAGAAGAGGGTGACCAGCAACAGTTACAGTGGTGATGGGAGCACCATTAGAAGACCTGAAAGACCAGCTTAGGGACAGATAATCATGGAGGAAATCTATCTATGTGGTCACTAAGAGTCGACACCATCTTGATGGAATATAATCAATCAGTCAATCAATATTATAAGCCACTCAGGGTGTCTGGAAATGGAGCAGTACACAAAATCTGGTACTAAATAATAATAAGAAAATAATGAATATCTATTCTTCCCCTCAGCACTCCTGTCCCTTAAGTTCACCCACTGGGCATAATTTCCTGATTCTCAAGGGTGTATTTTAAGATGATTTATTTATTTAAATATTTTTATTTGTATATTGACTTTCTCTGGGTTCAACATTCAAGGCAGCGTATAGCCCAAATCATAAAAAGTACATCTAAAATAATTTTAACTTTAAATGTGATTTTGAAGAGTCACATAAAATAAAATGAGAGGTAAAATTATAAGTAGCATCATTAAAATAAAGTGGACTAGTGACTGTCAGTGAGAAAGTCAGCTTTTGCTTGCTTATTTCACAGTAAAATGTCTTGCCCAAGATCTCCCAGTGTATTAAAATCTTAATAGCAATTTGAATCCATGTCTGTCCAACATTTCATTCATGATTATTTATTTTTCAAGCATTTTTATATTTTTACTTTTCTGAAAATGATGGCAGGTTTTCAGATATTTTGTCAATTTTAAATAGCCTTTGGTAGCACTGTAAAAACTGGGATAGGAGTGCTCAAGATTTGACCGAATCCTTAACAGAACTGGACTTAAATGCGTAAGACTGGCTAAATCCTACACTGAACTGGTCCACTTCAAAGGTAGCTTTTGATTCTTGGTTTTGCAATGAACTGCCTCCCAAAAAAGTATACCTGAATTTAAAATTCAATTTCAAAGCTTTGTAATCTAAAACTAAAAAAAAAAAAAAGTGGTAATTTCAGAGACTTAACTGAATGTGAACCACTTATAAAATATAGAACGTCTACTAGGGCTTATATATATGTTGCTACTGAAATAAAATTCAGAGACTGAATAAGTTGAAGACTGCATGACCAAATAGATGCAGAACTTAAAATGGCATTTGATATGCAACAATGGGAGTATCAATGGAAGACAAACATTAAATTCATGGTAAATAAAATACTAATAGAAAATAGGTACAAGATATTCTTCTGCTGATAGTACCCCAGTGATGATTGCAAGAATGGACAACACTTATTCACAACATTCTTGGAACTGTAAAAATCAAGTTGGAATTTTTTACTGTATCTGGTGGCAATGTCATAAGGTCAACTATTCTGGAGGATGATCTATTGTAGGATGAAACAGGTTTTCCATTTTCTACAAGTTTTTTAAGGATGGTGGTGGGAGATATTGATTACTAAATCGTATATACCTACAAAATACACTGAGCTGGCTTTATATATGATAATTACCACCAGAACACTTTCTGCTTTGTAGTAGAAATCATATTTAATTCCTTCATTAGAGGAATGGTAGCTTAACCTATGGAATGTTAGTTTCAACTTAACCTGAAAATTGTTTATGGACTATAATTCGGTATCTGGCTTGCTGTCACATCTGACATTAGGGTTCTCTTAAAATAAGGGTTTCAAACTCTTTAATTATTGTATTTTTCATTATACAGATCTCTCAGTGAAACTAAAATCTGATTTTCGTAATAGTTAAATATAATAGTTTTGAAAGTCCTAAAAATGTTAAACTGGCAGGAAAGCATCTTTGTATTTGTTTTAATCCAAGCTGATATATAAGGACAAAAGTCACATGTTTCTTGTAGTGGTATAGTTTCTACTTTCTTTTAATCTTACATTATTCTTCAAACTCTTCCATGCAAAGTTTGTATTTTGTCATTTCTCTGTATTTTTTTCCTTCTTTCCTTTCCCCCCCTTTTCTAAATAAATAAATAAACAGAGAGAAGATGGCCTGAAGTTAGAGGTAGTGTTGGGTTCATGTCAACAGGGTAAAAGGGAGGGAAGAGGAACATGTTTTGTTTCAGACTTTCCTCATTTCTCCTCCCGCTGGGACCAGGTCTAAAACTGAGTTCCATTTTTCTACATGTTAAAAAATATTTGGGAGCTACATATCCCAATCTTCTGGAATGCACTATGAAATGCCTCCCAGTCTGCTCTACTGGTATTGGAAATTGATGCCAGAACGTCATGGGCTTTGAGGTTTCCACAGGGGCTGGAAGCAGGCATCCAAGATCCAATTGCCCCCTTTGAGACTGGACATTTCTCTCTACTCTAGGAGGTGGAAATCCAATCTATTTCAACCTGTGGGGATGCCTGTTCAAGGGCAACAAGATTGCATTACTCTGTGAAGAAGGACAAAGGGTCCAGCATTAAATAGCAAGAGCAACAGCAGTGGACTCCTAATAAAGTGAAAGAACCTAATCCCCTGAATTATTTCCACTTCTCTCTATCTGTATGCTTCTCAACTGTTCCCTCCAGTACATTCCTCTGAAGGGGAAACCCTTTACATTTCCTGTTTCACAGGTCAGCTTTTCACCAGGTCGGAGACATTTTTAAGGCTAACTGGCTCTGACTCTCACCCCAAAGAGTCTAAAACTATGGCAAAAACATGGATTCAAAGAAACGAAGCAAGCACACACACAATATTGCAGCAAAATACAAGCACAGCCCTTGTGTTCACTCTGCCTTTAATTGCCAATATCAACTGTTATAAGCCACTCACCATGAATGAAGTGAGATTCTTGTTTCAAAAAGTTAAAGTCTTATTGTTGCACTTGGTTCTTAATGTCCATGGAGTTTTCTTGGCAACAATTTGGAAATGGGTTGCCATTAACTTCTCCAGGTTGGTGCTGGTTTCTTTGATTGTTTTGATTTCTCAGTCTAGCCTAAGTCCTGACATTTCTTGGTTGTCTCCCTTCCAACTACTAACAAGATCCAACCTTGCTTAACTTTTCCAGAAGGAGCCAAGGTATACTACCTCCCAGCTGGACTAAAAACTTACAGCTGGTGATGGCTTCTATGCAATTTTCTTAGCAGTATTACCCTGCCTGCTTCTGGGATTTTTTCTTTACTTCCCAATCTTAAATGGTTTCCCCATTCAAGTCTTTACAAAGGCTGTTCTTGCTTAGCTTCTAAGTTCAGCCAAGGTTGTTAGGTGCTACTTGATCTATTGAGCAGTACAAGGTCATGTTGTTTTCCTAGAAGCATGGAAATCTCACATACATTTATCCAACCAGAAAAGTTCAGTAACTGAACGGATAAGGAATGTAATACATAAAAATATACAAATTTAAGTGCCAAATATGATGTAAGCCATCTATACAATCCTTACATTGCCTTCAATGTTTCTAAAGCTTGGTGGGGAAGCATCTAGTTCCTATTACAATATTCTATTAAAGTGCAACCATCAATAAATAGCCATTTGATTTCTTGGATTAGTTTAAAGCAAGGAATTATTATGTCTATTTTACTGAATGGATTTTTCAGCTGAAAATGAACTCCTGTAATATTTTACAATTTTATGTTCTTTTACTACAGGTACAATGTGACAAGAGGCAATAATTTCCTTTTTCTTCCTAATTCTGACCTTTCAGAAAGAGAATAAAAGCACTAATATCTGCTGCGATGATAGACTTCTTTAAGTAAGAAGCTAAAGTGAAGCTACATAGTTCCAGCAAATCACTCTAAAATCTTTTAAACTGTATGCAGCATAAATGAGAAACATCATAATATATAGTTAGAGTAGAAAATACTGCAAGGTTATTTTTTCCCCATATGATCACTGGATATACATGGCTGCCAATCAAAAAATATGGCTATGGCATCCTTTGTTATAAAACACCACTGTCCTAATAGATTACGGTTTTCACACATTGAAAAAAGCGATTATGGGAAAGGAAATAATTCTGTTCAATGAGACACTGCAAACACAGAGCCCTGTCTAGCCAGTTATGTCTTTGATTTACCTTCATTGTCCTTTAATGTAAAGTTGGGATTCAAAGAAAAATTGTCATCCAGAGCAAAATGGAAGCTTTGCCCATCTGTAATGTCATCCCTGTCAGTAGCACTGATCGTCTGAATAATCTGGAAAGAAAATTGGATAGCGGGTGTGATTAATTTTGAATTGGATTTTAATATTGGCAGAACTCAATAAGTTCTTGTAAGCTCAGCTTGTTGATATAGTATTCAACTGAGCTGGTGACATTTATAGCATTTTATACTCGTCTGGTGTCATTTATTAATCTATTAGATTTATTTGGAGGGGACAGCATTTAAGCAATATCATGAAATGAACTAAACACAACCTCAGCACTCAGATTTATTGATCCAAACACTTTCTCAACAGTTCAGTTTCATATTTGCATTAATAACTGAGTAGAAAAACATTTTCATATATGACTTTATTTAAGCCACTTGCTTACATGGGCATGGTGCAGGTCAATAGAATCATAAACTTGGAAGGGATTGTAGAATCAGAGCTGGAAGGGAGTTACTTGCTCAGTGAAGGCTGTTAAAGCATTTTGGGCAGAAGGTTATCCAGTCTCTGTTTGAAAACCTCCAGTGAAGGGTAATCTACCACTTCATGAGGCAACCTGATGGCCTCTTGACTGACAGCTCTTAAGGATTTGAAACTGCTCCCCATAAGTTGCATACATCTTATTAATAGTTCTCTGACTTTGTTTGAGGCTGCAGTGCTATTTCTATCTTCTATTAAAATGTAGAATCATCATAATCATCATCCTGCCATTTTTTTAAATAAAATGTGTTCCATGAAATTAAGACACAGTGTATGAATAATTTGTGCCTTCAAGTCAGTTTTGAATCCCGGTGACTGCCCCCAACAGTTTTCTTGGTAGCATTTTTCAGAAGTAACTTTCCAGTTCCTTCTTCCTAGGGCTGAGAGAGAGTGACTGGCCCAAGGTCACCCAGCTGGCTTTGCACCTAAGGTAGGACCAGAACTCAGAGTCTCTTAGTTTCTAGCTTGATGCCTTTACCATGGCATCAAAATAGCTCTTGTTAGGGGTATGCAAAAAACACCAATATGATTTGTCAAATGAAAGAATTTGGAAAGAAGCCAAAAGAATCTTGATGGAATCATAGAAAGTTCTCAGAGTAGTTTTGCAATTTCCAGTAGAGTGGGGTTATACAATGAAGCCAATGCAATACACTCTGAACAGCTGAAGATTCACATTCCAGAGAAGAGGGATAAATGAGGTCTTTTCACCAACAGTGTCAATCTCTGGATGGTATTGCTAATTCAGTGCAACAGCAGTTGACAAGATTTCCACCCACCTATATATGCATTGTCAGGCAAAATGATTAAATCCGAAAAACAGTATCACTGGGGATTATGTTATTTACCCAATTATAACTCAGGACTGAAGTGAAGAATGAGCAAAAACCCGACAGCTACTGCATGCAGTTCATTTTATCCCATACAAAGTGAAGACAAATGGTGGGTAAGACATTGTTCTAGCTGTGGGAAAGAAAACACTGGATGTGTATGTCTGTTTGTGCTTGTGTTTGGTGGGGTGGTGGTGCAGGAACCTCTGCCTATGCTCCTGCACCTACAGATTGCTGTAATGTAAATATCTGTGCATTTAAGTAAATGCACTGTCATTTACTATGAATGTTGTTAAAACTTGCAGACTCTCACAAGGAGACTCACATTTGTTCCCTCTTTTGTACTTTTCTCTGCATCTCAGATCCTGCATTGATCTGGGACAAGAGTGGGCAATCTGTAACTTTATGACCACATAGCACTTTAAACCATTTATGTCCTTTCCTTGTGGCTTGCTGCTTGAGAGACAAGAGGGTATGAGAGAGAGAGAAAGAGAGAGAGAGGGAGGGAGGGAGGGCCAGCATGTGAGAAAAATAATGGGGCTGTCCAGTCATGTTTATCTGTAGCTCCACCCATGAGTTGCTTTGTCACCAACCAGCAGATTCTTCTTCAACAAATTAACAAATACAGACCCAGGGTGGGGGTGAGGATTGACTATTTAAGTCTAGGACTAGATTTATTAAAGGATAAGGAAAACTCCCAACAGAAAGATTTGCAGGTGAAGTGTGGAGATTGGCAATGAAGAGATGAAAGGAACAAAATAAGAGTAATAGATTCCAGAAGAGCTGGTTCACTTCTTCCAATCTTTTTGGAAGATTTTTGGGTGTGTGTGGAAACTTAGCTTCATTTGAAAATCGTGTTATACTTCAATCATCCAGCAGTACTCTAAACACTGCCACCTTCTTATTTATCTGGCTGATGATAGCCACAGCTACTTTGCAGCTAGGGAGAGGGAAATCTTAATACCAAGAAGACTCTCTCTCTTTTTTTTCCTCCACATCTGGAATGTTAGATCAGAAGGATTATGGATACAGCATGTTGTGGTTTTTATAGAGCTTGGGGTAGGGAAAATAGTATCATTGGGTCTTTTGTGCTTCTGAAATTGTTCCAGGCAGTGTGAAGGATGAAGAAGAAAGTAGAATTTGGAAGACAGGCCTCTAAGCTATCAGGACAGTTAAGTAAGTGAGGAGATTGTTGGGGCCATTAAAGGAACATAAATTTCACTTCTAGTTCACATTATAATCTGAATAATTCCTGAACCATGTCATCTGCTCTATAACTGTTATAAATCAAGTTCAGTTCCAACTCAAGGAATTATAAAAACTGAGGAATGAGAAGGGCTTCTGATAAGTTTACTGAGATATCATCCATGAAATACTTAAAACCATAACATGCTAGAAAATTGATCAGAAAGTTATGTTAATCATCTACCACATTACAGTGCAATGCCATGGATTTTATGTAGTCCTCTATCACGTTTTAAGACTGAATTATGCCTTGCTGCACCCATGCACCTCAAAGTGACACTATAGTAACAATATGCAAGATCTGTGTTTCTGTACATGTAAAACAGTCTTTCCCAATCTAATGCCCTTTTGATTACCACAAAAAATGCCTTATTGTATCAGATCTTGCTCTCAAGTGCCATATCCATCTGAAGGAGGAATGGGGCTTTCTGTGATGTCTCAGTCCCAATCCACTTCATGCTAAATATACAGAGGAGCGGTATAGTTAACCCCTTTGAAGACCTTTTAGACGCTGAAGTTTTAATGCTGCAAGATGTTAAATTTCTGGGTTGATTTTGCTGCTGATTTCATGGAAATTCTTTTATGCTGGCATTGTTATTCTACTGATAGCCTACTCTTATTATATATGGCTTTTGATTAATTTTGCAGAGTAAGACTGTGTAAATGACATCTCCTGGAATAGTGATACTTACAACACTTGTTGAAGGCAATCTGAGTGTAGGGTTGAGTGGGAATTAGAAACTAGAAGTGGACAGAAAGGTTTCTCAGCTGCCAAGTCTGGTAAATAGGAATAGGCTGCTAGTGCAGTGGTCAGTAAGAAAAGGTGAAAGTTCCTCTCTGATTCAGATTAGAATGTAGAAAACTCTTGGGCTATTTGCAGAACAGTTCTCAGGCATAAAATTAGAAACTTAGGAAATCAAACAATGAGTTAATACAGAGCAAACTTCCTTTAGATTACCTTCTAGCCCACTACTTTGTTCAGTGTTATAGCATTATTAAGATTTTAGTATGAAATACTTAACTTGCCAGAATATAAAAAAGCAAATGCATCAGAGAATCAAGATATCCTTCTGTCTCAGGTTTCGAATAACTGATTAGCAGTTCAAGAAATAATTTATATTGCTACCTCTGTCTCTTTTTAACTGATCTCTTTTCAAACTTGACCTTAAGTGTGTAATTAGCAACTGACCTGGCTGGGCTTTGCGTTCTCACAGACAATGACATCATAGTCCCTGGCAAGCTCTGGAGGATTGTCATTAACATCAAGAATTTTAACTCCAACAGGGACATGGCTCAGGAGTCCAGGGCTCTCTGTAAAAAAAGAAAACCCACACATTTTAAATATACATGCATGTGCCAATAAAGTGATTTAGCAATTTCAGAATGCACTCAGACTGTCAAAGCTTGTCTTTCCCCAGCACTCTCCTGCTTCTGAAAGAAGCTGGGAAAGTAATTCAAAACAACAGCTTGTTAGAAGTCTGCATGTTACAGAAGAAATCCAGCGCAACAGCAATCTTATGAAGGTGCAGTTTGCTAAGTTTTCAAAAATGGAACCTATGTCAGTATATAATATAATATTTATTACTGACTTAGGTTCCATTTCTGAAACCTTAGCAAACATAGGTTTGTAAACTGTAGGATGTGACTTGCTATAGAGAAAAAGAGACTTTTTCAGAGCCTATCACATACTCTTATGTTGTCAAGTAAGCAATAATCAGCCAGTTTCACTTAAGGTTACCATTTAATTTATAATAAGTAATGAGGAGTTCTTATCTGTTAAAGCAATGAAAAAGTCAATTAAAATATTAACAAGTTAATGATTTTTTCAAATGATTCTGCTTTTTACTGTTGCTGCTGTATCAGGAACATTATTTTAAATTCAGTAGTAACACATAATATACATTAAACTACAGTGATATTGATTTTATTTTAAAAAAGACAGAATATAAAGTTGAAATAAGTAGGCAAATGAATCACAAATAAATAGGGAAGAACATAAGAGGGTTATTCCCCCACTCTAGAAGAGACAAAAGCTCCTTCTACTCCTATCTCTAAATGACAGTATTCCCCCACCCCAATCTTTTGGTTGCTCCCTATCATACTACCACTGACACTGAAGGTTTTGTATAACCAACAGCCATTAAGTTTCATTGCTACCTTACTAGCCACCACTGAATATTGTCGCAGTAAATTCCATACATTTCATTACTGTAGTTGTTTTAATTGCCTGCCCTGCAAAAAGATAGGCAGAGCATAAGTAAATGGAGATCCGATTCATCCTTCAGCAGATACATAACTTGTTTAATTTTTGAAATAAATGGCAGAATTGATACATGGTTTTGTATGGTTCTGACATTAGCACCAGTATGTCCCAAGATAAAACAGTGATAAAGTCTCATTGGCTGGTATTTGAATTGTTCTCTGTTCTGTTGTGATTGAATTTCATGAGGTTTTAAATGCCTAATGTTTGTAAGTCACCTTGTATTACAATCTTACACCTGTTTCCTTAGGAGTAAATCCCACTGAACTGAATTGGAAGTATTTATGAGTAAACATGTCTATCAATAGATGTAAGAATTCAATCTCCTTTGCCCACACAAAGCTACCTTTTATATATATATATAT